ATTCATGAGGCCGGCGAATGCCGCCGTGGCAAGATTCCGTAACGTTTTTGTGTATCTCTAGGCCCGTACGTGGTGGCTACACTTGACTCCAACACAACAAACCGCTTAAACATACAGGTGTTCAAAAAGGGCTGTTGCATGGCGGCGTTGGGATATTTCGTCAGCCAGACGGTCAAGACACCATACATGATGTGCAGGTTTAGACCGGTGCATAGACATACATAGAGCGCCTTGTTTTACATACTCATACACATATGGTGGACCACGTAAGGCAACTCGTATCAACCGCCCCCCCTCACAGGTTCCGCGACGTCTCCGTCACCGTCTCCGGCGGCACCTCATTCTGCTCCGCCCTCTGATCCGGCACCTCCTCCGGCACCTCATAATACTCCCCCTTAAACTGGCTCCCCCGGCTTCCCTGCGCGGGGACTTCCCTTCCACTCTCGGCCGCCAAACCCACATTCGCCTTGGCCGCCATCCGGCCCTGCTCCGACACGTCGCCCTGGCGCGCCGGCTCGCGGCCGCGGCCGCCCAGCGCCTGGTCGGCGGGGAGCAGGTCGGGGCGGTCGGCACGCAGGCTTGCGCGCTCTAGCTCCCGCGGGTCTTTGCCCCAGCCCCTGACGGTGGATTCGTCGACCCCGCCCGGGTTGTGCTGGTACACGTGGGCGGTCTTGTCCTCGGGGCCGCCGGCGCCTTCGTAGGCGGAGCCGCGGACGAAGCTGGTGGGGTGGCGTTAGCCTGGTGTTCTGGGCGTGTTTGCTTGTTGGTGAGGGATTTGGATTGGCACTGGCACTCACCGGGCCGGTCTCGTCGACATCGCCGCCCTCGTCGGTTGGGATCTGCCGGTCGTAGCTCCTGTTTGTCACCAGGTTCTCGCCCACCTTGACCGTGGAACCGGGGAACTTTCTGTCAACTGTGTCGTTAACACCGTAGTCGTCGAGCCCCGAAACCCGCCCCTTTCCGGCGCCCGTCTTGGATTGGTAGGTGTTGAGATCCCGCTCTGCCTGCTGGGCGATCTCGTTGAGTTGTTGATTGCCGGGGCCGCGTTCGGTCATGTTGATGGTTGTTGCGGGTTCTCTGAGGGAAGATGCGTTTTGGTGGTGAGGTTGTGCAAATCTCTGGGTTATTATATAATGGTCATGCACTTGTTTTGGTCAAGTATGAAATAACAAGCTTCTCAATGCGGCCAGCTCCCTCGTTGCGAAGCGGTGAATAAATAACGGTCGTTGGAAGTCTATGTCGTCATGGTATTATGGGTCTATGACGGAGGTTAACAACAACCCCCTTGCGGTCAGGTAGATCGATGCCTGGAATGGTCTCCAACTACGTCTTCTATTGCTGTAGATGGTCTTATTGGCTGTCGAGGCTCGCCCCTTTCAAGTTCCTCCACCGCATCCCAACTGGAACGCGATGAGACGTTCTCTTACCCATCCAGTCAAATAAAACTGTTAAAACAGTAAAAACAGTGGAAATAATGAACCTCTAGCCTGATTTCAGAAGACCGTATATACGTTAATTTCAGGCACCCGTAGAGACATTGATCTTAGCGGTTCCGTTTTGCATTGACTCGGGCATGCCGATAGGACAGAGGTGGCACAGTCAGGTCGTACTTTGCTCAGGTTTCATGATTTACCAAGAAACTTGGCACTCAAGCCCTCGACACGCGCCCGCGATGGAGAATATAGGCAGCTATCGGCCCATCGGGGCATATTGCGGGCGTAGACCGGTGAGGGAGAGAGCAAGGATTATCAGATAGCTTTATATGTCTCTCAAGTCTAACATTGAGTTCATGGTCCTTTTCACCCCGGGTGCACTGTCAAGATGGCTAGATGCCGTTGTTATTTCAATATCGCCAAGAGGTGATTGTCTGACGGGACTTGGATTCATGGTAAGTAAAACTCAGGGGCCTTGTTTTGATCGCCATGGTTTTCTCCTACAACGGAGCCGATTAGGTTCGTAGGGTCACACACTCGTGACGCGAAATTGTATGCTAGGTGGTGGCGGTTTGGAGACGTGGCCGTGCCGGCTACAGGATCACGACCACAGCCCTTACACAAACCACAGAGGTTGTACTCTTTGTTGCCACTGGTGCTTACTCGGTTGAAATTGTGGCAACCCAATCCTGTACGCAAGAGAGGTAAGCCAGATTACTCTCAGTATCATCGATTGCGTTGTTCTTGGAGAACATCCGGCCCCATTGGCCACCAACAACACTCTGGTTAGCAGATGCTTCTGTTTCCTGGACTCCTGATAGTATTGGGATGATTCTACAGCAACTATAGGCAATGGTATTCGCAAAAACATCTGACCAGACTCTACTTTCCTTCTCTGATGACCTCGCACATCACATGAAACATCGGAAATGGTGCCCCTAAAACTGCCGCGTCAGCTCACCCTGTAAGCAGTCCAACGTCCATGGATTCAACCCGTCAGTATCCCACTATGTGCTCTAGCCCAGCGATGCCGTCCGCCTCAGTCCTCGCCCCCTGAATAAGGTCCGCCTCGGCATGGTTTCCCTGTTACCTAAGCCGCGATTCAGCCAGCCACGAAGTCTGCAACCAAAACAAATCCCTCTCCCCTCCCTCAGCCAACGCCAAACTGTCCCTCCGATACACCGCCGCCTTACCACTCCTCCCCAACCTCCGCAATCCCCGCCATAAAGTTCTTTGCACTAAACACCAATACCTCTCCACATACGCCTCCCACTCCCCTCCCACTCTCCCACCACACTCACCGGGCATGCACCCCCCCCAATCCCACTCCCACCCACGGCATTCCCACCCCCCAAAATCCTCCTCACCACCCTCACCCCCACCCCAAAAAGCACCAAAAACATCCTCCCCCTTCCAACTCCAAAACCTTCGCG